CGCTGAGAGACCGCGAGCTGGTGAAGATTATAAGGCTTGGTTTGAAAGAAAGTCTGGCGAAATATATCTATGCCATGGACGTACTCACCGTGGATGAACTGGGGCAAGAGTGCCTAGAAGTGGAGAGGCACATGGGTCGCAGAAGCCGGACGGGTTACCTGAACCCGTCGCGTTGTCCACAAGGAACGAGGCCCGTAGTCCACGAGGTTGAAGTACCACCACAACGTACAGAAACGCCGCCGGGAGAACTGGAGGAAGCATTCGTGCGAGGCAGGAACTCATCCCGACATGTACGCTGGAACTGCAGACAATTCGATCACGTCTTTAGAGACTGCCTGTCCAAGGAGCGGAAAATATTCTGCTATAGGTGTGGAAAACCGGACACTTTCTGCTCCCAGTGTGAAAACTGTCCGGGAAACCCCAGAGGGAGCGCGGTGATGGCAAACGCGGGGAAGCAGACGAGGGGTACCTACCAAAGCCAATAATCATTGAAAAGGAGACGGAGATATTAATATAAGCAAAGGAGGAACACTTAGGGGCTTACCGTATGAAGAACGTGTTCGGGCATACATGTCGGCCCGAAATAGAATTTTTGGTGAGCGACAGCCGGAAGGGATGACACTAGCCAGCCGGAGAGTGGTTAAGGCACGTGCGCGCTTCCGCAGACGCAGGATTACCCGGCGCCAGGTCGTCGAGGCGGTGAGACGGGAGGATAGTATAGACCCACGCGTATTCGCCGAAGTGGAAGTCGCCGGGGCCAAGATGAAAGGGCTGCTGGACACGGGGGCCTCAGTCAGTCTGTTGGGACGAGGATGCCGGGAGTTAGTGGAGAAACTGGGATGGGAAGCGCGGCCATACGAATCGATGGTGAGGACAGCGGCGGGTGCTAATCGCCCAATTTTAGGTCGCGTGGTTCTGCCTGTGAAATACGAGAATAGAAAGGAAGATATCGTATTTTACATGTGCCCGGACCTGCGACAGAAACTATACTTGGGAATCGACTTCTGGCGGGCCTTTGAGATTGTACCAGAGCTGCTCGGTCCGGCCAGAAAGCCCGGAACACCACCAGAGGCATCTGAGGTAACGGTAGCGAACACAGAGGTGGCATATTACCGGGACGACGACGACTGCGCGGCGGATTCGGAAATGTGGGACCTGGACAACGATCAGAAGAGTCAGTTGCAAAGCGTGAAGCGCAGATTTTTCCAATTTGAGAAGGATGGCCTAGGGAAAACTCACCTGCTGCAGCACCGAATTCAGCTGATCGAGGGAGCAGAACCCGTGAAGGACAGACATTATCCGCTGTCTTTGGCCAAACAGGAGATCGTGTGGGCCAAGGTGGATAAAATGCTAAAGTTAGGCATCATCGAGGAGAGTGACAGCCCCTGGAGCAACCGGACGACGGTGGTGATGAGGCCTGGGAAGAACAGGTTTTGCTTAGACGCCAGGAAACTAAACAGTGTGACGGTAAATGACGCTTACCCGCTTCCATGCATCGAGGGCATCCTATCGCGAATCGACGAGACTCATTTTATCTCTAGCGTCGACCTTAAGTTCGCGTTCTGGCAAATCGAGATTGAGGAGAAGAGCAGGGCGTATACGGCGTTTACCGTACCAGGGAGGCCGTTGTACCAGTTCGGCCACATGCCATTCGGGCTCTGCAACGCCGCTCAACAACTTTGTAGGCTCATAGACAAGGTAATCCCGGCGAATCTGAGGTCCAACGTGTTCGTATAACTGGACGATTTGCTGATAATATCGGCAGATTTTCCAACGCACCTAAAATATTTGGAACTGGTGGCCGAGTGTCTGAGGAACGCGAACCTAACCATAGGCATAGCGAAGTCAAAATTCTGCTTCCGCAACCTAAACTACCTGGGTTTCATCATAGGCGGCGGGACGCTGCGCATGGATCCGGGAAGAGTAGAAGGAATCCGGAACATTCCGAATCCGAGGACGGTCAAGGAACTACGAAGCTTCTTAGGTACAGCCGGGTGGTATCGACGATTCATAAAGAACTTCGCCGAGATCTCGGTACCGTTGACTGATGCCCTTAGGAAGAACTGGTAGATTTGTGTTGAGTGACGAGGCCATGGATGCCATAGAAAGCTTGAAGTTAGCCCTGACCACAGCTCCGGTGTTAGTTCACGCAGATTTTCGAAGACCATTCTTCATCCAATGCGACGCGTCTCACTACGGAATAGGAGCCGTGTTGTTCAAGTTAGACGACGAGCAACAGGAAAGGCCGATCGCATTCTTCGACCATTCGACCAAACTCAACAAGCACCACATCAACTATTCGGTGACCGAGAAGGAATGCCTAGCCGCCAAACTGGCCATACATCGATTCTCCGTACGTGGAGATGATGCCGTTCACGGTAATCACCGATCATGCGAGCTTGCAGTGGATTATGAGTCTCAAAGACTTGAGCGGGAGATTAGCCAGGTGGTCCCTAGAACTGCAAGCGTTCCCTTTCTCCATGCAGTACCGCAAGGGAGCCGGCAACGTCGTCGCAGACACGTTGTCCCGAAGCGTGGAAGAGGTCATACTGACCCCAGAGGATCTGTTGGGATTTCTGACCCCGGAGTTCGAGAGCACCGAATATCGAGAGCTGATAAAAGAGGTGATGAGCCAACAAGGGTTGTTTCCGGATCTTAGAGTGCAGAACGGACTTCTGTTCAAGTGGACCGTGAACGAGAGCTTGAAGGATGAGGTCGAGGGCACAAGTTAGAAGCTGGGTGCCGGAGTCGCTGATTGGTAGAACTCATCCAACAAGCACACGCGGACGAGACGTCAGCTCATGGAGGCATGAGGAAAACGCTGCACGCGCTGCGCAGGCGATATTATTGGCTCAACATGGCCATACAAGTCAAGGACTATGTACGGAAATGCGATACATGCAAAGAGACCAAGGAACAAAACTACCGGATGCAGGTCGGAATTGGGGAAGAAGTGCGCACCGACCGCCCCTTCCAGAAGCTATATAACGACTTCTTGGGAAGCGTGGATATTCGTCGTCGTAGACCACTTCTCGAAATTTACCTTAAGGTGTTCTTCAAATTTGGCGTGCCGAAAGTGATCCATTCGGATAATGGACGATAATGGCATTACTCACCTGCGCAGAGCAACGCCGCCGAACGCGTGACCCGCACAGTGCTGTCTGCAATCAGAACCTACCTGGGTCAGGATCATCGGGATTGGGACGCGTACCTACCAGAGGTGGAAGTGGCGATCCGGAATGAGGTCCACAGCGCTACGGGAGTGACTCCGTTCTTCGCGGTCTTTGGACAGCAAATGTACCTGAATGGTTCCAGTTACAAACTGGCCAGGAAGCTGAGATCGTTGTCCAATCACAGTATTTCTGACCTTGACGTGAAGGACAGACTGGCTGTAATCCGAAGCCAAGTCAAGGACCTGCACACCGCATACGAGCGAAGTCGCCAACGGTACGACCACCGCGCGCGCCACCTCAATCTGGAACAGGACAGGAAGTGCTGAGGCGCAACTTCGCACTAAGCAGCTTCGGCAAAACCATCAATGCCAAGTTCGCCCGGAAATTCTTGAAGATCCGAGTCGTCCGAGCCGTGGGCACCAACGCCTACGAGTTAGAAGATATCCAGGGACGCGTGCTAGGCGTCTTCCACGCAAAAGATATACGAACATAATCGTAATTTGCTCACCTCCCTGCCAGGCAATGGCGGCGGCAGCGCCCGTCGCCCTGTTTTTTTTCTTTCCGGCAGTGCGAAAATATAGATTACTTGTCGTGAGTGTGGCCTACGTGGGGTATCGTTATTAGCCGGCTGGATCAATCCATGAAATGCGCACGCACATTCCTTGTAACGGTCATTCATGTCATTACAAGAATCTGCGTGGTGATGTTGCATTTGACGTTATCGGTAGCACCGAGGGTTTACCTAGTTGGTTGCGTGCGATATTATCGGCCACGCCGATATCTTTTCGTCATATGGTCAGAGTATGCGGGGTGAAGCTGCGCCCACGGCGGAGCCCAAATTTTTGAAGGATGGCAACGCCAGACTTGCGATCCACTTCGCCAAAAGCGACGATTGCTATTGGCCGCCCGGTTCGCTCTTAAAGAGAATATGAATAGAGTGGATCGCATGCCCTTGGTCGTCATTTGGGCCATTGACCCAAACAAATGCAGCTGTGCAGCAACGGTGCCCGCCTCGCCAATGTATGCGTGTGCCGAAATTCGGCACCGATGATGTTGCTGCCCAAATGTAAACGGAGTTCGACTTTGTCAGCGGTCCACAGCGGACGCACCGGCTCGTAGTTAAGAATTTTTGGATGTGGGATATTTTTTTTTGCCGGCCACGGAGCATGTGCTTAACCAAAAAGATAAAAATCAAGGGACATACATTTGTTATGGACGGGTTTTCTTTATTAGTCAATTGCTTAATCCGTATGTGCTAACGTATTGCAAAAGAAAAACACATAAAACTTAAGTGCGACGAAACGAACTAAAAAAAAAAGGAAATAAAAATTAACGGTTCCGGCAACAAAGGGACCAGCTCCCGCACCAGAGAAGCCCACGAACATACCAAAAGCCAGGAATCGGCTCAGCAGCGCACACCAGCCATATCCGCGACGCCGCCAGCCAAGCGTCGGCGCAACCCTGAAGGCGACGAGACGAGCCACCAACGACCGGACGCCAACAACGAAGAAGCGGCCACAGGCGAGACCACGCCCACATCCTCCGAGTGAGTCCGTTCTATTTTGCCCATCCTCGTTAGAGCTCTTGGCAAAGAAATGATGGAGACTCCTGACCGTACTCCCAGAAAAAATAACAGATTTTTTTTTGTCGTTAGATTTAGTTTCTTCGTATTTATTAATCATGTCTATACATACATAGGCACTTACGCCGAGTTTCACTTTAGAGTGCGAACGGTGAGGGAATTTCCAAAGGTGATGCATCTGCGCATAAAAGATATAAATATAAAATTAACACTTGCGCGAACTATGCTCACATACTTACCTAATTGGAATTATCCATTTATATCGCCCCTTACCACCCCCAGAGAGCTTTTTAGGTAGGGTAATGTGGAATTAATCGATTTAATACAATTTATATCACCTACCTGTTGCTCGACTGATTATCGTGACATACCCAGTTTTACGTAGTTGTGTGGGCACATTGTTCCTAAATTGGCGCAACGATTGCCTCTTAATTGCCTCCGTGCGTGTTTTTTTTTGCGGCGACTAGCGTATCTTTGTAAAATTTCTTCGCCTGTTCCATTTAGTGCTGTTAAAATAAAAAAAAAGGAATTCTAGAAGATAAGAGAAAAATTTAGGCATTAATACACTTTGTCCATTAATACGCACCCGGGTAAGAAACGTCACGTGCATGAATATTAATTCATCTGGACGGAGACCTCGTGCAAATCAGAAAGAAATAAAAGAAATATTAATGCCAATAATTATAAGAATGCACAAACCATTATACGCACCTGTGAAGCTAACCAAATATGAGATTCGAAATAGCTGCAAAGATAAATGCCATAAGCAATGATTATAATTGTTATACACTTAAAGAAAACGCAACAAAATGTGGGAGACGAGTAGGTTATCGTCTCATGGTTGGGCGGGTACGCTGGGTCCGGAGCCGGGGCCCGATCTGGAAGAGTAAGGTGGATAAATAGTGTTTTTTGTTAATTTATATTGAGTGTCTCACCTTTGTTGTTTACATTTTCTTAGTTGTTACAGCTGTTTATTTTGTTCATGAGTTAGAAGTTCCGATTGTTTGACGTTATCGATTTGTTGTTCGTTTTGCATAGTATTGTGTAAGTCTGTTTTGCTACAGACGTGTAGCTTTGTTGTTATCGATTGTGCGGACTGCGGGCCAGGGATGGGATTACACCCAGAGAAACCGATGAGCCAGCCGGCGCGGCCCACCGAGAAACAAGCAGTTCCGTAACATTTGTTACTATGTTACATCCATAAAGATTTCATCAGACGTTTCCTTAAATTTCTGTTGTCTCCCAATAACACGCATCAATTTAAGATTCGTTTTCTGTCTCTCCAAACTTGCGAGCAGTACCCAATTTTAAATCCTTGAAAGGAGCTTCTGGTTCTTGCTTCTTAACACTACACAAATTTTCTCTAATAATCTAGATTCCGATCAATTGTGGCAATTTAAGATGGTTATAAAACGTTTTAGCGAAAGTCTAGCTCTATTTTATTATGATTAATCGTGAGAACTCTTTGTAAAAGTTTCTATGCCATTAGTTTCTATGCCATTAGTTTCTTGACCTTCTGCCTTATTATTGCTTGGAAAACTTACTACTTCGACTGCAAGCAATTCTTTTGGGCTCGGGTGGTATATGTATATATATATATATATATATATATATATATATATATATATATAAATAAACACTGCAACGTTTTCTTTGAATGTTCTAACTGAACTAAATATCTATTTATTTCTCGAGCTTCAGTAAAGCTTAATGTATAAAATGGTTTTCTTAAAAGCTAGGAACATGTATCTAACAAATTGCCGTTGCAGCAGTTCAAGTCTCTTACACGAGAACTGTCGCAACCAAAATCCTGTTAAAGTGCTGGATCAGCATTGCAACATAGTGTCACAATGCTGTGCTGCCGCCGCCGTTTCTCGGCGGCTTGGCGGGTGGAACCGAATCATATATACCCTGCATGGTATATTCGTAATTCCTCCCCCCCCTGGAATGTAGATGTAGTTTGGTACTATTAGGAATTTAGTGTGGTGTAACGGTAGGGGGACAATGTGTGCTAATTTATACACTTGTGTGTTAAATATTGGAATTTTTACATGGAATGTTATGTTAACGTTATTTATGTAGGTTTCTAATGTTAACAATCTATTGTGTAGTGTTCATCGGATTCTACTATAACATTTTGGCTGGAAATTAATTCGTTTATAAATCTAATTTCTTTTTCGGATAATATGAATTTGGGTATTATATTCAATTTGGTTAGCAGATATTATCTATATGGTTGTGTTATACATTTATTATGTTCTACATTTAATGTTTTGTATATATTATTTTTAAAATTTTTAATGAAATTGTTAATTATTCCCTGTTCTTGGTTTATGCGTTTTCTTTAATAACATTGAATTTATCAGCAATAGATTGGGCGTCTTTTGCGTCCATATTTCCTGTTACTACTTTTATTATACTACCAAAACCACTTATTGACCCTCTGTTTTCCCCTTTTTTTTTGGGTAGTAATGCATTTATTTTGATTCTTAGTTGGCCTACTTTTGCTTTTCTCCTGAAAATTTTACTTGTCTTAGGTCAATTAATGCTGCTTCGAATTTCTCTGTTTTTAGGGTGTTCAGGGTGAACCCATTAAAAATGGGTATAAGGGTATATAGTATTTGTGCAAAATCCAAATGTATGTAACAGGCAGAAGGAAGCATCTCCGACCCCTTAAAGTATATATATTCTTGATCAGCACCAATAGCCGAGTCGATCTAGCCATGTCCGTCCGTCCGTATGTTAGATGTAGATGCTCCTAGTGCCTGCGCAGATCGAGTTTGTTTCCGATAATCGATAACTTACTCCGTTTGCAAGCAATCGATAAAAATCTATATAGATATCCTGTTTTTGGGCAATTTCGGTAAATAATAAGAGCTAGAGTCACCAAACTTGACATATAGCTTCTAAAATAGAATATAAATATGCATTTGATGTTGGAAGAAGAGGGTTCAGGGTATCCCCTAGTCGGGAGCTCCCGACTAGAACCTCTTACTTGTTTCTAACAATTTTTGTGTGTTGTTTTTATGTAAAAGGTGTTTATTTTATATTATAACTCTTGCGTTTCCCAGGTTTATTTTAGCGAGTCTTTCGTGCTCCTCCAGCTGTTGTAATTTGATAATCTGTGCTGTCGCACAGCAGAATCTGTAAAATATGACAAACTTGTCCTTTTTATACCCTGAACCCATTAAAAATGGGTATAAGGGAATATTGTATTTGTGCAAAATCCAAATGTATGCAACAGGCAGAAGGAAGCATCTTCGACCCCATAAAGAATATATATTCTTGATCAGCATCAATACCCGAGTCGATCTAACCATGTCCGTCTGTCTGTCCGTCCGTCCGTCCGTCCGTCTGTCTGTCCGTCCGTCCGTCCGTCCGTCCGTCCGTATGTATGAGCCAAAGGATCTCAGAACCTATTAGAGCTAGAGACTTGAAATTTTAGATGTAGATGCTCCTAGTTGTTGTTTGTTTCCGATAATCGATAACTTACTCCGTCTTCAAGCAATCCATAAAGCTCCCGACTAGGGGATACGCTGAACCCTCTTCTTCCAACACCAAATGTATATATATATATATACCATTCTAGAGAAGCTACATGTCAAGTCAGGTGACTCTTATTATTCTCTTATTATTTATCAACATTGCGCAAAAAACACGATTTCGATATAGATTTTTATCGATTACTTGAAAACGGGGAAAGTTATCGATTATCTGAATCAAACTCGATCTGCTCAAGCCCTAGGAGGAACTACAGCTAAAATTTCAGACTCTTTAAAGTCTCTAGCTCTTTTAGGTTCTGAAATCGTTGCGTTAATACATACGGATGGACGGATAGACAGACAGACGGACGGAAGGACAGACAGATCGACTCGCTAGATCGACTCGACTGTAGATGCTGATCAAGAATATATATACTTTATGGGGTCGGAAACGCTTCCTTCTGCCTGTTACATACATTACAAATACATTATACCATTTTTACCCGTTTCTAATAGGTTCTGGGTATAAAAATAATGAAAATGTGTTGCTTAGTTGATCTTGATAAGGTTTTTTGCAGTATATCTTCTTCAGCATATTCGTATATTCGCATGTCGGGAACATCCTCAAAACTGGCTGTAGTGCCAATTGGAGTTGTTATTTGCTTCGTTCTGCCTGCTATATTTGCACAGATCCAGTATACCCTTTTAACCCATTTTCATTAAATTTCAGCTAAAAATATTAAATTCTCGCAACTTTATTTCTATTTCGTTAAAGTCTACATGATACCTACTGGTCGATTTAATGGGCTTGCACCAGTAAAAACGGCCGTTCATAATAAAAATTGCTTTCCACTCTATGACGAACAATTTAACTTGTAAGTAAATCTTTCTATTGGAGCATTTCTTATATTTGAATTATTGTTTATATAAATTAGCAATTTGAATTCGGATCAACGCCTGATGGAAGATAGCCTGATTTTATTTAGTGTTAAGGATGAAGATTTATTTGGAATGACAAGTCAATATATAGCAGAATGTTATATAACTTTTGCAGATCTCACAGCATCTAAAGGCGAGCAAATTATTATGAGTCTATCTAGACCAGAGTACACAGGTAAACAGTCATTTCTTATAAGTTTAAAATGCAAATATATTAAATTTTTTAAGATTCCATGGCATTGCGCGCTCTGGAGCATAGACAAGGTAATAAGCAAGCAAAGGATTTTCTGAAAAAGTTAAAGAGCAAATCAAATTATTAATTCTCGATACCGACGAATGTCTAGTCAACGACTTGTTATTTACAAATGTTATTATGGTATTATTTATGTATTCTGGCATACTTGATTATAAAGTCCATTTTAACTAGACATACGCATTTATAAAAATATATTTTGAAACAATATTAATAAATATGATTATAAAAGAATTGACCTAAGGCAACCTTTTAAGGTAACATTAAGCATTGTTTGTTTTAGACGATTATTAAGCAGGTCAGCAGATTGGTTTATAAGTTTTTCAGATAATTTCTTAAGATTAAAACAAAAACTTGCAATTTGCATCCATTTTTGGACCGATAAGACTTGAATACTTTCTTGGGAGAATTTGCATATTTAGTGGCTGTTTTCAGTGAGGTTTTTGAAATTTATTTATTAGGATATCTGTCCGCTTCAAAACCTTCGATATAGATATTTGCTTTTGACAAAAGATGATCTGACCTGTAAATGCTTTGCGCAAACACTTATATTGTTGTGTCTCATTTTGCGTTTACGTTGGTGTTGTGCTGGCCGATATAAGTAGAATCGATGCGTTCGTTAGTCATACTGACGAACTGCGCATTTGACGGAGATAAAAACAAACAAATTTTATCATGATGTAATGTCACTAGCAAACGCGGCGATTGCTCAGGCCTATCAGACGTATCGACACTCACTGCCGATCAGCATCAGCAAGTTCATCCGCGAGGCGAAAGATGGGGGATCAGCGATGTGCTCAGCCTGCAAGGGAAAAACGCCGGAGAACCCAACTCGGCGCCGGTGCCACCGACACCCATCATCCCTGACCAAGAAACAGGCGCCATCGCGAAATACCGCAAAATAACACACCGAGGAACGTAGCCTCCGCCGGTGCCACCGAAACCACAGAAGCGTACCTGAAACCTGAACGGTACAGCGTCAAGTTTGACGAGAAGGACGTCACGAACTTGGTCGAGTACTTTGTGTTCCGACTGGAGTACCTGCACAGGCAAAATATATGCCCAAGGAAGGAGGTCCTGCGTGGCTTAAGTACATTTTTAGGGTAGACAGCTGGGTGCAATTGCGGCATGCACTTCTGGACCGGTTGAGGGGCCACACAACAGAAAAGGAGCTAAAAGACCGGGAATAAAACGTGGTTTGAAGGAGAGGATGGCGGAGAAAGTGTACGCGATGGATGTAGCCACTTTGGATAAATTGCGCTAAAAGTGCATCTTGCGGAAACCTCGCCAAGAGAGCTG